TTGATTTGACCCCGTCAAATTCTACTCTTCCCTTTTTATTTACTAAACTTCAATTTCCCATAAGAATTTTGGTATGACAATAAACAAAGCATAGGGTTAAACATTGGATATAGTAGGGTTGTATTTAGTCATAGTCAACTTTATGTTGCCAGAGTTAGATCTTTTGAAAAAATAAAAATACAAATAATACCAATTAAAATAAATAAACAATGCATATTTGTAGTTTTTAAAGAAATTCTATTATTTTATTAATTTTTCTCGTTTTGGTCAAAATATTTGCAGTTTCCCGTAAAATGTCTTGCGTATATTTATAAATGTAAATGAAACTTAAGAAATTAAGTTAGGTACTTTCCATTTTATGTTTTTCTTAAACATTAATGGCACATTATTATAACGATATATACATTTTTCATATTTATTTATATATTAAATAATAAGTCAACAATCTTATTTTTTTACCGTAACCCAGCTAGATGCAGCGACAGGTAATTCAGCTAGTATTTAAATAAATATATGTGCATTTTTTAAATTTCAATATTGATTTTAGTTAAGAGGCTGTCAGTGCACTATTTGTTTTCTCTCTGGCTACCACGCAACATAGACAAAACTCATTTACGCAAAATCACTTTTTCTATGTGTTTAAGTAATCTTAGAGTTAAGTAACCCATTACAAAAAAGATAGAGAATAATATTTTTGAGGGAATGACATATTGATTTGTCTGAATATTGTCTCAAAACAATTTAAACATAATTTATATTTATAACATTTTTTTGTTTATTTTGAAATTCGAATACAAAGTCAAATAATAATAAAATATAAAATCGATATGTCATTCCCTCAAAATATTATTCTCTATCTTTTTTGTAATAGGTGACTTTGCTCTAAGATTACTTAAACGCATAGAACAAATGATTTTGCGTAAATGTGTCTATGTTATGGGTGGGCCAGAGAGAGAAAACGAATAGTGCGCTGACATCCTCTTAACCCTTATAGTATAGCCTATACGGCTCTATTACCGACAAACCCTTCGTGTAGGTGTACTCAAATAGTTAGGTACATCGAATATCATTATTTTTATAAAATAATATGACATTGGTATGCCGTGTGATCTACTCGCTCGTGCCTATAGAGTACGCATGTTATCGGTGTAGTCATTTAATCTATTATACTCATATAGTTATATCGACATAATATCGTAGTCACTTTAGTCTCTTATCGACATACGCTTACTTTGTACCTCTAATAAAACACGACGTCGTCCACCACCAGCCATGATGGTTATACATTTAGAAACGTCAAACAATTTTCACCGGCTGAAAAGATAGGTAGTTTTGGTGTAAGTATAATATATCATATTATATTCATATCGTAATATTCGCATTTGTTGTAGGTACCTACTTGCCGAACACAATGTCCGGGTACTAATATAAATACAATATAATATTATATTATATTCGTATTATAAATGTATAATATAATACGTATGCCCCCCCAGCACGGTTCTGTGTTCTGTATACATATCATGTACTATTTACATATATTATATCAATGTACACGATGTCGATCCCCCGTGCTATATGCACGGTCTGGATGGTCCATTATATATAGCCGCAGCGAAACACAAGTCTACACGGGGCGTTATCATACGAAGCTTCTCGCTATACATAATATATTATATATATATTTATCTCCGCTGGAGTTAAACAAAAAAAAAAAATCTCACAACAAGCATTGTTGTAGTATACGCCACGTGTGCGCGTGTAAAATGTATAATATTATATTATACTTGCGAGGTTCAAAAATAAAACGCAATACGTATTAATGTTATAATAACAATATAACGTGTGCGGCGTTGGTGACGACGATTGCGAAGGCGTATCGATATACGAGTATAGTGGAACTTGTGCGATTATAATATGGCTGAAACCTGGTACAGGAGATGATGTTATTTCAGTATTTTATTATTTTATTATTATTGGTAGTTTTTGGATCTATACTTGCAGACGTGCACGATTTTCCTACAAGGTTTAAAATATTTCCAATACTACTGTCATAAAGACCATATACCTGCACACATGAGTACATGACATAATATTATATTATATAGAACGTTTACGAGACCAATAACCCCGAACGAAATACGTATAGGTAGTTATTCTCGATAGGTACATTAATGTATTATTTATAAACAACAAATAAAATAACGTTTCATAGGTACCCGTTGGTTTTTTTCTTTTTTTCATTACAGACCGATGACTTTGGTTATATTAACGTTCAATTAGCGGTAATGTCGTCGGTTAACGCATTGGTTAATGATCGAAATAATTACCGGGTAAAGTCTTTTGTACAATATTACCTATATACCAACTTACTATAGAGGAGAACCATTCACGGTGGACGTAATGTCGTAATATATACACTATAATTTGAGTTAAAAAAACGAGTAAGTATATACATAGGCATTGACATTATGAGAGATAACTACGAGGATCGTGCGTCTATAACGGAGAAGCAAGACAGAAAAAAAACCACGATAGTCGTGCTGCTATAGCCATAAGTAGGAGAAATATATATTATTTTAAATAATGATATAGGTAATATATGTAAAAATTCGTATCAATAAAATAATCGAAAACATCTTAAAATTAAACGCAGAACACGTTGTGGTCAGGCTGAATTATTATATAGGTATTATAAGTACCACTATTTTTCACTCTTCAGTTTTTATTTATTCTTTATCGAAAATGCCTATCTTTATAAAATTGAATTTATAAATTATTTTTATGGCCTAGGTAGATTTCACGTTTGAATATATTAGTATATTATACGTAGGACGTACCACGTACGCAAGTGAAACTGTTAGAAAATAATGTGTTCTGATGTAAACAGACAAAACATTCCACTTTTAATAAATTTGACATACGTCCATGTTCAACATTAGAGAAATAGTGTTGGACGTTTTTGATAACAAAAATTATAATCAAGTTTAAGTGGTAAATTATCACTTTAAATAATTTTATAACGAAGGTAAATAGTGTACAACAGTTTAAAATGTGTGTATGCACAAATGTTTGTAAAATAGAAAAAGTGCAAACTTAAACTAAAGCCGTTTAGTCTAAGCTAAACAACCATCAATAGAAAAGATAAGTTGATAAAGACACATTTCATAAAGAAAACATTAAATAATAATAAATAATACTAATGATTTCTTTCATTAGAAATTGTTACCACCGTTAAGTCAATTTATTGTATCAAATACTTAAGTCACTTGTTTTTTCAGCGTATACAAATATTGTTCAAAGTAATTGAACAACAGTTATTAAGAAGGGAAAAATAGAAGATATGTTGTAAAATGCAAATGGTTAAATCAGTAAAGTACCAATTTACTATAGACGTCTGCAATTTGTATATTTTATTAACACTGTGACTATTATTTTATTTTAAATCTATCATATTATACGCTATTTTTCAAAAAACTGTTGAGATTACCTACTTTAAATTTGCATTCAATTTACAGTGTAACTAACGCTGATTATGTTATATAGGTACTTAACACATTATTAACAGGTATTTTATTTTCTTATATTTCAAAAAGTTAATTAAAAACCGCCACTAATTAAATTTTAAACGTACCTAACGAGAGGTGCCTAGGTATATCTTATATTTATTATTCATTAACACGTTTATACTATACTAGATAATAGTTAAGGAAATTTAATGTACCTACACCACACATATAAATAGCTCATGAAAGATGATTAACAAACGTATATAATTATTTTAAATTACCAAGTGATTTCATAAATTCCGAAGAAATAAAAATGTAAGAGTATAAAATGTTTAGAATAATAATTATACTCGGTAGATGAGTCATAAAAAAATACGCTCGAAAAAACAAAACCGTATAGATAATTGTATAGGTAGGTAGTAGGTATTAATACCGATATGCCTACTATAATATAGTATATTATTGTTTTTGTTACTATTTACCTATACTTAATAATTCCTACAGTATAATATGGGTTCTTTATTAATACATACTTATTTCAAAATTACAATGTATTCAAATATTGTGTAAAATATAAAGACCCATGACCTTTTCGGACGCACTGCGAAAAATATAATTTAATATGGCCATAGGTAGCTCTACATACTCATACGTGATTATTGTTTCAGTAACCTACCTACGTATATACTACATCGTAATTTGTAATGATTGTACATGCACCGATCGTGTTGTCGAAATATAAATAATTTCTATTGGTTTGTATCATGTGTGACAGAGCGAACTGCTAGTAAAGAAGTCACGAATAATAACAATAATCATGCTAAAACAATGTTATGAGAAGAATATAAGACATTATGCTATAATGTCAATTTTGGTTTATAGTTTAGAAAAGACTATAGTGGTAATCAGCTTTCGGCAACTGTTTCGGAAAACCGTTCTAAAGTTATTTTCAAACGTTCGACGACGCACCGCAATCGGAAAGGCGATAACGTAGGTATTGAATAATGACTAATAATGACTATCTCGATTCGGTGAAGGGGTGAACCCGATACGAGCGGTGCAGGATAAATATATTGTATTTAATAAATAACAACAAATATTCGTACGCAATGAATATAATAATCGCGGGCTTTTGCAACCGTCAACATTTGCGGGCGTCAAAGGCGTATAATAAAAATATATATAATCGTTATCACCACAACCCTTTACCGCCGAGGAGTGTAGAGGACGGGGAGAGTAACACGCCCTCGCCCCAACAGAGACTACTATAGTGCAATACATAAATGTATAATAATAATTTTAATATTATGATTGCGAAATATTAAATGCGTGTAGGGATTAGGTACATTCGAGCACCTATACACCTACCTACTGACTAGGATTATACCTAGATAAACCTACAGTACACGACGATGTAGTGGACATCGTCGTACACTCGTCTTCAATTACGGCACCAATAAATGATTATCCTACGACGAAATAAGAACTCACTTTTTGAATGTCGCCTCGTATTCGTTGATCTGCTTACGCGAGAACTCCTTGAACTCGAGGAACACGTTTTTAGTGGACGGCCGCCTGTTGAACTGTCGTGGCACCGGTTTTCCGTCCTCCAGCGCCTCGTTGATCTTCTGCCGGCGATTGAGCACGGCCGACAGTTCGTCGCCGTCAGCGGACGAGGACCCCGACGATACCGAAACGTTGTCCATCCCGGAATACTATGAACGAGTTACGGAGATAACGGCGACGAAAAGCTAGAATTAAGGTTTTTCGGTCGTCCCGTAAACCCCTGCTGCAAGACGAACTGAGCGGCGTATTACGTAATGTCTTAGGCACGCAAATGTATAATATTGGCGAAGATCACGAAACGCAATGCAAATTAACGGATCGATATGTTTTAATTGACACCTATTGTGCGATTAAAATCTTAATAACTATGTTAAGATCGTAACAGACGTGACGCGCACTGACGCGGTGTTGAACGTGCGACAGTCGTTCGCGGAGTATTGCGCTGAGTGTGCGCCGTGTAAATTGTTTTATTTTATCGGCACTCGGCGGCCCGGTCGCCGGTCATGTGTGTGGTAGTGGTCCGCCTCTCGGCTCTCGCTCGCCCCGTCGTGGTCGTTTTTGCGCGGTCGGATACTGTGCGGCGATTTATGTGCGCGTGCGCGCATCGTGGCGGCGGCGTCCCGTGCGCTCAGTCGATACGGTTTTCTTGTGCAGTTGTGCGCCCTCTGCTGCCGCCCCCGCCGTTCATTCACTAGTCAAATTTTGAACAATTGCAATAATAACACACCGTTGTGTATAGCCATAATAGTATTAATACTTGTACGCAAAATTAAGTATTAACTATTTTATGCATAATATTTATTATATATTTATATATATAGATTATTCATTATTATGTAACGCGGGTGGTATCGATTATCGCCGCCCGCAAGGCGCACCGACCGATGACTAGGTTTTTTTACACATAATACTGTTAAATTGCGTTGTAACATGTTTTTCGTATACGTACAGTGTATTATAGGCGCTGCATTATTTGGACTCGGGGTGGTCCAGACAGCCCTGACCAACATTCAATGTAAAATATGTTATGTTTATGCTTAGGTATGAGTGTTGCATAGCTTGACCCATTTATTATGTATCATGTATGTATATTGTATATTCGTTCAGGTATTTGTTCTGCGGGACTTTCCTTCCAGCCTCCTTCCTCCGAACCAGTACTGGTTTAATTTTAAATTTAACATGTAACTTTATAAAGGTACCTACATATTAATATAATACATCATATAGGTATAATATACTTGAGTCTAATATTATTGATACATTAGATCCAAATGCACAGCTAGAAATTTCATTGAGTGGAAATGGGGTCCAAGTGTATTTTTAAATTTTTACCCCAATTTAAAATGTCATTAAACATTAACATATTTGTTAGCTATGTGCCGAGGGGGGATTGCCCCACTGCCACCCCCCCCCCCTTGATTAGGCCCTTGGTAAAGCTGTTGAAAATCAATTGAGAAGTTTCCGGATCACCCTAAACTTCGTTGTATATCATGTAAACAATATGCGTACTTAATACAAACAAACGTCGAAACGCTATATAAATATTTACATTTTTGAAAAGTCGACATTTGCTTGGTGCCTGCAGATGGTATTTGGGTGGGTGGTCGAATACTAAAATGTCATAACCCTCGTAGTGAAAGAGATGGGTGGACACTGATCCGTATAAATTAATTACTCGTGAATGCATGACATTTGATTTTTTAAATCAATCACGAATGTAGGTAACTTGACCCATGTGGTTAAGTTATAGTTAGTGCACTATTTATTTTGTCCCTCTCTCTAACTCATTGCGCAACATAGCAAATTTTAATTTAGCAGAACCAATCTTTTAATAAATATTCGTTAATACTTTACAATAACCGGTTACTGCTACATTAAAATGCATGTTTATTATGTTAAGTCTCATAAGCTTCAACAAACATAACTCTCCAATTGTACCAATATTAAAAATGAACAAACAATTTACAAATTTTATAATACTCATAACTTGCTTTAAAATTAAAATATAAAAAAATACTATGAGTTTCACTAGATAATACCTATTCTTACTTATACATTTTATAAGAGGTAATTCACTCTAATTTTTAAACTAACAGAGCTAAACGTGATCTGCTGAGCATACAATTTACTGTGCTATGCTTTTGTAATACAGAGAGAACACATGTGGATGTAGAGCACTCTTAACACATTTAAACTTATTTTAGATTAATTTAATATAGATTTTCGAACGGTTAATATCCATGTTTTGATAATATTTGATATTTAAAATATGTTTCCTTTTTATAGGTTTCTATAGTAGAAAATACTAAATACTAAATAGTAGTAATAAATAATAATACAACTATAATTTACACGCGTGATTGGGGTCTGAAAAAAAATGTTTTAACTTCAATAACAAAAGTCGAACAGTATAATATAGAGATATCTATATTAATATATTGTTCCTTATAGGTAGTAGGTACCCATTGTTCGAGTATAACAATTAACAACTATATAGCAGTTTTAATTTTTCAATCGTCTACTTATATTATTTTTTGTATAGGTTTATATGAAAGTATATATTATAAAGTGTAATCGATTTATGCATTTCAGTTTTTAGCAATCATGAAACCCAAATTTTGTATGGTGTAATTAAAAAAATTGAGAAAAAATACAACATGCTATCATAAAGTAGTAAAAAATATTATATACAGTTATTAATATCTAGAAATATCTTTTATCGGAGTTCGTAAACGATTTTTTGCTATACAGTCTTTATTTTTTATATGGCCATCCATGGCCTGGTTATATCTAGAATAATCAAATACATCATAATATATTCATATAAGAACTTTTTTTAGAAATTTCCTTCACTAGGACATATTTTCCTTATATTTTTACACATTATTTTACGTCATGTTTTTTTTTTTTTTTTATTTTATTCGCTTTTCATAGGAATTATACATATATAAAATAAATACAGAAAACCGTAATAATGGACATCGCAAGTAGCCAGGTAGGTCAACGAAACCAGTACCTAAAAAAACTGCAGGGCGTTATAACGCGTAGCCAGTTTATCAATTTTTAAAATGCATACACCGTGCCCAGAAATAATGTTTCAAATTTAAACGGTCCATCGCACATTATATTATAGCCGCCACATATATACTCCAGTTAAGAGGACGTTATACCGCTCATTTTCGACGGTAAAAACATGTTCACGCAAAACAGTCAAAACGACACTAAAAAGTGGTTTTAGAGTTAAAATACCTATGATGAAATTTATAGAGAACAATATTTTGGAGATAATGTCATATCCATTTTACAAAAAAATATTTAGTAAAATAATTACAGCTAATTAAAAAACGTAAAATTTGTCTATTTTGTATTTTAATTTGTTAGTTATATAATAGCAATATTAAAAAACGCATATGATGTTTTATCCGAAATATTGTTTTCTTTCGATTTTATTTAAGGTATTTTTGCTCTAAAACCACTATAAAGAGAGCAATTACAGTTTTCCGTAGTTATGTTTTTAACGTTTTAGTCGTACTTTTCAATATTTATCATGCCATATTGTGCTGCTTCAAGTGGTGTATTTTATAAATATAATTTTCAATTAATTGGCATGATGGGAGGTGGTAGCGGGTGCTCGCCGTCGACGGTGTTATCGATAATTCTAAGAATAGTAATAACTAATAAGTACTAATGACTTATTATTATTATTGTTGTTATTAATAATAGTATTATTATTCGTCCCGTATATTTTATTCATATGACTTTATTTTATGAATACGGATTTACGAAAATAAGAAATTAAGTTTATTATAATTATTATTAGTCATTCTGACTTGAGTACTCAGACTATACAGTATACACCTTTGGTTACAGGTCTATATTATTTTATTTTATTTTTCCTAGCGTTTTTTATAATAATTTTTAAATAATATGGCAAATAAAACAAACAAAGTTAAACGCCCATCTAGAAAAAATATATCTAGTAAACTTATTTTAAAGCGGTATAATAAAAACAAAAGGTAAGTTTTTACAATATTATTAATTTCTTTTTGATATAAAATGTATAAAATAGTTAAGTATTTTCATACCGTAAGTTTAAATTATAGAATGAACTCCACTTTATTCTTTTATTATAATATTATATAAATACAATAATACCTATAATATATAAATTATTATAAATAATTAAAAAATATCATTTTTATATAATATTTTTTAAGTTGTACTTCTAGTCCACTACCATTGGGTGAAACTTCTATGGAAATAATAAATGAGTCTGATACTTCAACTACTACATTGGTTACTACTACATTCTTTATAGGAGACTCGGGAACTGGAAGTAACGAAACTAATTATTGTTATTATCTTAATAATACAAAGTGCAAGGCCTATATGGCTACATAATATGAGTATTTATTGTATATGATATTTAGACTGAACATTATTTTGTTGCTATATCTAGATGTATTGATCAAGTTGTACAATAATATTATAGGTATATTATGCTTTTAAAGTTTTGAAAATAATTCATTACTGTAGGTATTATTACATCAAATCTTAAATTTGAATTTCGATCCGCTACGCAAATCTTATAGCTGCAATAACGGACTGCTGTATTATTGGAAAAGATAAAATATACTTTGGGCACCGGGTGCTAGAAAACCGTTCGTTTTTTACGCACTATATATCCCGTTCGTATATATTATAATGTTTAAAGACGTTCGCCGTAGGTACCTACCTATATATTTATATTATATATTAATATATAAACATTATACATAATTAAACATTTAAACATATAACGTACTGTGAAACAACGCTAATGAATTATAGAAAAACGGATCGTAATGAGTGGTTTTGCTTATATGCTCATATTATTATATCGTCCTACACGAGGTGTAGGAAGTAGGTAAGTAGGAAGTAGATATATATACTATATACATTATTCGTCAGTGAGCGGTGAACAAAAGTAATATTATTATAAATTTATACTAAACATAATAATGTTATATTGTTATACCTTAAGGTATACGACTGCTTTATTGAATTAAACGTATTTTATACATACAACCTACTCAGCGAACGAATCGTATAATATAATATTTTACTACAAAACTAGCTGCATATATTTTACATATATGTA